AGTCATCTTATATCGAATGACTCTAATATATTTGATGTGGCTTAGATTATGCAAATAGATTCAGCCGGGCTGGCCGGAATCAAAATCACGTGAAAGTAAGACCTATTGACTAGATAAAAATACGTCATGATAGGTCCAAAAGAATTACCGCGCTAATACCATATCGAATAATATATATTACTATTAGATCTGAAAAAAATACCATATCAATATCGTGCTATTACCACGAAATTGCGTAATACTATTCTTCCGCAGTTAAGTCTATGATCATCGCAAAAACATGGAACAAATATGGTAATTCTGATGTCTATTAATTTGCTGATCTCGATTCTGAAAAAAATAAACATATATGATAATTCAGTCTACAATCTACTTAATAATTCTCCTAGCCAGATACCGGAGACATGATAGGACTCATCATTGGTGAGGTTTTCCTTTCACATTTTCCATCACAATAATAATAACCTCTATCATAACCACCGTATCTATTATCATACCCATCATTATCATCCGATCCATATGGTATTTCTTCTTCAGAATCACTAGAATCGTTTTCATCGTCTGACTTAACTGATTGCGAAACAACCCTTTCATTCATTCCTTTCACTGACTGAAGTGTGGTTGAAATGCTTACCTCAGAAGATTCAGTCGGTAGATTACGTGAGCGTGAAGAATTCTTCACGCCGATCACTTTTTGACATTCTGCAGTGTAAAAATTTATTATATTTTGAATTTGTGCACCCGTTAAACTTCCAATAGCATCAACACTGTATGTAACTAACCTGATTTTATCTATTCTTACTTCTTTAAACAGTGTATAAATATTTTTAGCTTTTTGAGTCATCTTACGTAAATTCTCTCTCTTCTTACCTGGAAGGTAGGGCTCCATTTCATCGTAAATCCGTGTTTTTGCCATTTGATCAGTAATATTACTTTCCAAAACAATAGTTATGGCCTTTTTTTCGAATTTCTTACTATAGTAATACCAACGTAACTTTTCTTTCTGACCAGTTTTTTCGGCCTTATCAAATAAGTGAGCTAAATGAGGTATAGAACCTGAAGCTAGATCAGAATCGACTGGAATTTGTTTACTAGATGCAGTAGAATTCGGTAAGGATTCATGGCTTCTAATAAATTTAAGTAATTCACATACTAAACCTTTTTCTACTTTTTGTTTATAGGGAACTTTCCTGTCCTTACTATATTCAAAGCCGGGCGAAGTAACATATGATTCGGATGATAGACTGGCAAGATAAACATCTTATCCATCTTTTTCGTTCAAGGGAATGATAGAATCCTGAGAATTGATACCAGAGAAATCGGCTATGAATGGCTCTGAATCCAAATTCTTCTCCTGGGAATCACCTTCTCGAAGCTTTTTCTTCCGCTTCCTTTGTCTTATTTCCTCACTAATCATTTTCTTATGATTTTCATCCAAGAAAGTATCTATCTCTCTGTCCTCTAACGACCCCCTTTGATCTGGTAGCAAAACTACTTCTTCGATCTGTAGGGTAAGAGACAAATCATTCTGATTGCACAGCCCTGGATCTCGCACTTCTGATAAATTTAACTGACTATGAACTTCGTGAATAGACGAGGGCTTACACTATTTGGGCTGAGCTATAACTGAGTCAGGTACGTTGACAGATTCTTCGAGAATAGAATCATCTATTACCTCTTCTATTGACTTGGTATTGACATCATTTTGCTGGT